TACCTGTCCCGGTCACCCTGTGCCATACAGCTTGCTGTACCTGTCCCAGTCCCAGTCTCCCTGTACTGTACAGCTTGCTGTATCTGGCCCAGTCTCCCTGTGCTTCCTTTATGTTTCCATCTCCATTTGCTTGCTATATCTATCTAAGCCCTACATTTGTGCTTACTAATTACTGTGTTTCATTCACATGATGTGTAAACTTGCCTTAAGCAGGGTATGTTTCATTCATCATGTTTTAAATTATGGTCTTCAGGGTTCTGTGAAGGGGAGCCAGAGTGTGTCAGGTCTGACGTTATTTCTGTTGCTGACGTTAAAAAGCAAAATCTCAATGATGCAGAAGATTGGAGTTTATGAGTGGTACTTTAGATTCACTTTCCACCATTAATTCATTTATTTTTTATTTAACTTTTCAGGCCTCCATCTGAAAGCCAGACGTGAGTATTTGTATCCAGAACAAGTCATTATTCAAAATGCCAATTAACTCTGACCCAACAAATTGAATTCCTTTCATCAACCTCCCTCTTCCACCAGATTCAGAAATTAGATTAAAAAGATGTCAGTAGTTTTGGGTATGAAATTGGAAGGCTGATGGGAGTGAATAAATATTTTTCTCACTGCCCAGGAGAATGCAATAGGGTTTCCCAAGGATTGGTATAAGAACAAATGTTTTCCTTATAAATGACCTTGATTTCTGTATACAGAGCACAGTTTCAAATTTCCTGAATAATTCAGAACTTCACAGCACAGGAACTAAATTGTGACAGTAATGGATATCAGGAGGACATAGAGAGACTGATGACATGGGCAATAAGTGGCAGATGCAATCTGATGTGTATAACTAAAGCAACAATATAAAAATCACAGAATCCCTCTCGAGCATAAAAAGGCCATTTGGCCCATCTAGTCCACACCAACCCTCTGAAAAGCATCTCACCCAGATCCATTCCCCTACCCTATCCCTATAACCATGCATTCCCCATGGCTAATCCACCTAACATACACATTCCTGGGCACAATGGGCAATTTGGAATAGCCAATCCATCCAACCTGCACATCTTTGGACAGTGAGAGAAAACCCACACAGACGTAGGGAGAATGTCTGTCTGGAGTTTGCACAGTGGCCTAAGGGTGGAATTGAACCAGAATCCCAGGCGCTTTGAAGTAGCATGCTCACCACTGTGCCACTAAGAAGAGCAGTATAATCAACTGCTCCTATTCGCAGAGGAATGCGGGAATAGAGGCTCATGGGGGTGGGGCAAGGACTGCTGTGTATTCCCAAATCTTTGACTGTGGCAGACCACTCAATTACACTCAGTGTTTTAAACAGGGCCAATAAGTATAAAAACGAGTAAATCACACTAAACCCACGTAAGGGTCCAGTAGACCTCAGCCCAATCCCAGTCCTGGCATGTTGGGAAGGATGTCATGCATTTGGAGAGTTATTTTTGTTTTTGTTCTCTGGCAATTGGGTCAGACTGTTCAGATATAAAATAATTTGCAAAAGAATTAGAGGAGAAACAAGAAGAACATTCTTGAGAGAGTTAATAAGTTATGAATGCAAGCTGAAATGGTGGTAGAATCAGACACCACAGGAACATTTAAAAGGTACATAGTAAGTATCTGAAGAAGGCTAATTTGATAAAGTCATGGAGAGACTGGATTGTGGAATTAATTGGCTAGCTCTTTCAAAATGCTATTCCAGTTATGATGAGTTGAATGACCTTACAACTCACAAAGCGATCAACTACTCCAATGACAGCCAGCACTACCTCGCCATCACTTCTATCGACCTCTCCCCTTCTTCTGAGTTAGCTAACATCCAGCCCTGCATGCCGATTTAACGGTCCAGGCCTTGGATTCTCAAATTCTTTCTTTCAACCTCTCTTCCTTCATCTCCTAATTTTAATGCAGTCCTTAACTCCTTTCTATTTGACCAAACCATTCCAAGATCTCCCTCTACAGCTCGGTTTCTTTTACCTGATTGTGCAGCTATGAAACACCTTGGGATATTTTACTACTGAAAGAGAGTTATACCACAATGAGATTTTATTACCAATGGATAAAGAACAAGCCAACTTTGCTCCCTTCAATGACTTGAGGCCCATTTCAGCTGGACTCCGCTTCCTCAGTGTAGACCAAGGACTGAATGAGGCCTGAGCCAAATTGTTGCATTGTCTCTCACAGGTTTTCATTCACTTAATGCCCTGAGCCATCGACTTCCAACACATCAATTAACCCACATTTTCTCGCACTACACTGCGTACGTTGTGGTGAAAGTGAGACCCACCTGAACGGTGGTGCAGCCTGCCCGAATATGGTTGAGCACCTTTGCCCCTCTCTTCTGTGTAGCTCAGTTTCTACTTGGATCTTAAATTTCTGATCTGAGCTACCTTGAAATCCGCACCCTTGATTAAATGTTCAAATCTTGTGCTTTCCAGAGAGCAGCTTGTCACAGACCTGCAGAAGCAGATCACCGAGCTGGTGAACTTACTGGAGCAGGAAAGTATCAAGCAAATGAGCATTGTAAACAGGGTGAGTTAAAGAGCTCTCTACCTGTTTGTGAATGGACCAAAGTCTGCTGTGCCCCAGTTTTTACACTTCAGAGGCAAGGATATCAGTGCTGAAGCGTGAAATATTCATCACATTATACTGACTTCCAGTCCCCTCTATGGATTGTAATATCATTGTTTCAAGGGGTTTTGTCAATTGGTAAAAGTAAGACTCAGTTAGGGATAACTACGGATTAATGAGTGTCTGATTCAGGAGTTCAAACTCCATGTTCTGGGCAGTCCTGTAAAGTAGAATGTGGATCTCCACCTTTGAATGCTTGTTTGACATGGACTGGGATATCTGTGTCTTGTGGGCGAAGGCCCTCATAACATGGACTGTGAATCCTCAATCCATAATGGGGTTAATTACACTTTCTGTCTGCATGGTAATTTTAGCTGTAGTCCACAAAGGACCACGGGCATTTCTCTCCAAGCTATAGGGGTACCACTCCACATCAAGCACAGAGCAAGGAAGGGAAGCCAGTCTCCATGAGCTGCTATAGCCAGTGTTTGAATTGAACCTGCTCTTGGTATTGTTCTGCATCATATTTTAGCTGACTTAGCTAATTGACAGATGGAAGGAAAATCACCACTGTAGCTTATCAGACTGTTAGCCAGCCTGCAAATCCGTCCACTACTTCATGCTGTGGAAACTAAGTACTACATTACAGTATCTCTTGTGTTAACTCTACCAAGGTTTACAGGTATCATAATGAAAGATAATCTGTTGCATTATTTGCTAGGTTTACAATCAATGGTTGTTCCCCAGGGTGTTGATGTAAGCAAACTGAATCTGGTAATACAGATGATTATCAGCATATCGTTAGAGGTTATAACATCTTCAATTTGGAGTCTTTGGAAACAATCATCTGGATCTTGGAATTTTTGGCTTCATAGAATTAAATTAGTCGTGCATTAAAAATAACGCCCATGACATTAGGGCTGTTTGGCATCCGAATCAAATTGGTACAAAATCTGGGACAAACATGGTGGTTAAAATGTGAAACTCGCCTTGATGCCTTTGAGGAAGCTAAGTATGTACACAATGGAGAAAGGAATACACAGTTACCTCTCTAGTCTGGAAATCTATTGTTCAGAAGCACCAGTTGTCTGTGAATGTTTTGTGAATATTCTTCTGTGTCCTTCCAACTATTTGCAAACTAAAGCAACATATGAAATCTCCTGTTGCCCTAATGTCATGGGCGTTATTTTTAATGCACAACTAATTTAATTCTATGAAGCCAAAAATTCCAAGATCCAGATGATTGTTTCCAAAGACTCCAAATTGAAGATGTTATAACCTCTAACGATATGCTGATAATCATCTGTATTACCAGATTCAGTTTGCTTACATCAACACCCTGGGGAACAACCATTGATTGTAAACCTAGCAAGGCTAATCCCATAAATATTGTACAGAACAGGCCAAATACTGTATATTCTGTGGCAAGTAACTCACTCCCTGACTCCCAAAGCCCTTCCACCATCTACAAAGTACCAAGTGTAAGAGAATGCTTTCCATCTTCCTCACTGAGTGTGAGCTCTAAAAACAGAAAAGAAGCTTGGCACATTCTAGGATACAGCAGCCCAACTGATTGGCACACCATGCTGGTTATGTACCAGCTAAAAAATAAACCTGAGCAACTCACCAATATTTGTTCAAACGAAACATCCAAACCCATGATCTCCATTACCAAGATGGACAAGGCCAATGGGCAACATGTCAGCACCATCGCCTGCAAGTTCCCTCCAATTCATATACCACATGACTTGGACCAGGTGACCATTCCTTCATTGTCACATGGTCAAAATGCTGGAACTCCCTACTTAACTGCACAGACTATATGGTCTAAGGATGTGCTGATACGGTGGGATGATGTTGGGCTGGGGAACTGGTCTACAATATAAACGTCAGCATAGACCAGTTGGGCTGAATAGGCTGCTTGTGTGCTGGAAACTGAATATAATAAGCATCAGCATAAATCATGTTGGATTGGAACAGAAACACTTAAGTTTCCGGTACACTGAAGCATGTGGTCATTTACTGCACAATGTACATCAAAACGCATCTGTGGGGTTAGATGATTTCTATGGATCCTTCAATTGACTTATGTGCCTCAGAACTTGGCAGCAGTACTCTAATCTGGGTCCTCACCCCTTTAAGCTGCCCCTTGCTCTGGCTAGAAAAGTGTATGAGAGTAAAGACAAGATTGGACCAAGGGATGTGAAGCCAGCCATTTCAACAAGTTAGTGGAGAGAAACCAGCAATTTTGCCAGAACTGGTGGGTTAGAACTATCAGGAAAGAACAAAAAATCTCGTTTTTTTCTAGAGAAAGCCGACTGAATAGAGACCTTTAGAATTATGAAGGGGTTTGGTTTAATTAACCTGCATAGACAGGTTATAACACACCTCTGAAGCAGTGGGACTTGAGCCCAGAGGCAGGGAGAAGTTTAGTACAGTACATATAGAGATGTTTTCACTTGTGTGGAATCCGTAGTAAGAGGCAATAAATTTATTATTTAACAATCAATTCCATTAAAGAATTCAGAAGAAATTTATTTAGCCAAGATGGTAGTTAGAATGTGGGACTCAGGAGTAGTGGTGGTGAAGTGAAAATTCCTGTAAAGGGAAACTAGACAAATAGATGAAGGAGGAATGAACGGAAGAATATGCTAACAGGCTGTGAAGAAGTAGGTGTGGATGAAACCTTACACTGAGCAGAAACACTGGAACAGATCTGATCAGCTGAATGGTCTGTACTTTAACTGTAATTCAGCATCACCCCGAATCCCTATTTTCCCATATAATGCAATTTGTTCCCACTCAGATAGTCATTCAGATTTATTCCAAAACATCAAGCAAAAGCTGATATTCATTCACTCCATGCTTTCTCATTACATCTCTCAAATTTTGTTTGCTGCAGTTAATTCAAAATGAAAATGAGACCACTTGTTGAAGTATTGTGTGGCATGCTGTGTGTTTGTGTAAATGCTGCTGAAACATGAAATATTCAACAAGTTAATGTGTATTCAATGTAAACGTTGTTGGTTCCAGTTTCAGGCTGAGGGCAGAGAAGCAAGCTTGATGATGCAGAAAAAGCATGAGGAGGAATTGAGGTAGGACTGTAAATAACTGCATGGGGTGATGTTGTGATTCTGATTTTAAAAATGCTCCAGCGAATAATGCAATCAAGATCTATAGTTACGTAGTTATACGGTATGTGGGAAGTTGTGTCATATCTAACCTGAAAGCATTGACTGAAGGTTGAAATAAGAAGGTGCTTTGGCTGGTCCATTACGGAGTCAGACCTATGCTGCATTTACTGTGGCAATATGCTGGATTTTCCACTCCAATGCATACACTCTTGAAGACGACCAGAATAATGGTGGCAGAAGGTGGAGTTGCCTGTCAGGGTTGAAAGTGTGACTTGCCTTGGTGAGTTGGGGCAATCCTGGTATGGAAAACACATCTAGGTTTCTGACTTCAGTGGTGGGAAGACACGTAGAAAGGTCTCAATTCTTCCTGATTGTTGCGAAGTTGGGTAGAGTATTTGTGGATTGGAAGGCAGGATGTTAGAATTTGGTGTTTGTAACAAGCTAGTGGGGAAAAGCATTGTGTGGTCCCTTTAAAAAATTGTGCTTTTTATATGCTTGGAGATGTCTGTGAGCAGCTTGAAAGTTTGCAAGTACAGAGAACACCCCCAAATTGAAACATTTGTAACAAAAGGCCATGATATTAGCTGGCCAAGCAGCATTTTTACCGAGACAACAGGTTTTTGAATTCAGCCAATCAATTTGAACTAGGCACTTAGATACCAAAAACCTATCAAATTTGCATCTGATGGTTTTGACAACCTAAGACCAATCAATTGTCAGAAACTGATATGTCATCAGGGGTGTAAAAGAAGGGGACAGTTAGAAAATTCGCAAGGCTAACTGCCATCTGCTAGAGATAACAGTTCTCAGCTATTAGAGAAAACAGTACCATGGCAATCCTAGCTAAGATTCCTAATAGAAGAATTAATAAAGAAAGCATTCCTGACAGAAGAATTGACAAAGATGATAATAGAACATTCCAGAATTCGTAACCTGGCTGTAGCTTTGAGAGACTAAATTCTATTGTTTTGTTATATCAGTGGGGCTTATATTTATTGGAACAGTATACCATTAGAATCTTATTCAGGAATCGTTAGTAGTTAGATGGGGTTTATTCGGTTTGTTAATAGTTTAATTAATTTGTTCTGTTAGAGTTAGATAAATAAATTGTTAGTTGTTGATTGTAAAGAGATCGTCAGGGATTTATTTGATTTATCCACTAGAAGTTACTGAAAGACAGGTTACACCCCTTTTCACACTTCTTGTAACAGATTATAGGGCGAGGTGTGCCTCTTTGGGTGTTTTGGTTTTGGTTCTCAGAGGGGGGTCAACGTCCGCTTTATAACACTAATACAGGTTTACTTTAATTTCAGAAAGATTTTGGAGATGCACGCTCTCGAAATCGAGGAAATGCAGAGCAACTTTGCTGAGATCCTGGAGTCACAGAAAGAGAAAGCAGAGAAAAAATAAACTAAAACAAACACAACAAAACACGAACAACAACAA